CTTCACCCGCGGGAAGGGATCTAACGCGCAGCGTCGCCCGTTAAGGTCACCATGGCTGACAGAGCTGCTGCCGAAAGGGCTTGCAAAGACCCCAACCCCATCATCGATGGCAGGAAAGCCAACGTGAACCTGGCGTACCTGGGCGCCAAGCCGCGGATCATGCAGCCAGGTGAGGAGGCGGCCCGGAACGGCTTTTCTCTCTGTACCGCAGCTTTCTGAAGGGAGTAAAACTTTAAAAACGGTAGCACTGTCCGGCACTTTCCTCAAGTACACTCAGTGTTTGGGTGTGCTTTGGGTTTGGTTTTTAAATGCGGCGTGTCGGAACTTTCTGGCTGTTGTATACATGTGCCTTATTTGAAAACCACAGGCGAGCGGAGATAAAATATCCGCAGTTCCCCAGGAAGAGTTCCACAGCTCAGGCTCTTCATTGGTTATTCCTGCCGCTGGGAACGTGGTGGCGCTGACCATTTACAGTATCGTTGCAGGGAAAGATTGGCCTAGGAATTAATCGCTTCCAATGTGTGCGGTCTGATTAATACAAACAGTATCTTAACGCAGACTCCTCAAACAGATGGGAGCTATTATGCAGACTTAAAAATGAAACGGCTCTTCCTAAGACTGCATCTGAGCCAGTCTGATGTCCTAGCCACTTCCCAAACTGCTGCTTTGCAGCAACGGAGAGAGGAGCGCAGGGTGCGTGCATGTTTGTGCTCTAAAGGAGGCTGCTCTGAATTCCCCCGTGCTTACCCTGAGGAACACTTAGTCTAATTAAGTGCCCACGAAGGAAAGAAGGCATTGATGCTTGGGCGCTTGAGGGACAGAAATGAAGTTAGGATTTGACCCCCATGCTAAGTCCTCATGAGTAGAGATGGCTCGAATTTAAGTCTGTAGAAAGTACGTAAATACACTGATGAATACAAAGTGCCCTATCATCCTTCAGAGGCTAAAGTGAGGGACCAGAATGGAGCACAAAATAAAACGTGAATGAAAACCTTGTGCTTGTTGTTTAGAAAAAGCCGTTCTTCTGAACATTCCTAGGAAAGCGTGTGCTTTACCGTTTTAAGTTCTGTCTGCATGTATGTGTGTGCGTGTATATATGGATTGATACATTTTGGTTTCTAATTTGTGGTTCTGCAGCCTTTCTGACATCGTTGTTAGTGAAGGCTGTTACTCCGCGTTTGTGCGCATGTGTGTATATAGCGTAAGTAAGTGGCCAAAAGAACACCCGTACAGAGAATGTGATGTGTTTTTGTTGGTAGGTTTTGCCTTTGGTGTCCAGCAGCTTCATCCAGCTCTCATACAGAGGCCTTTTGGGTAAGTCTGTTCAATGGGACCTCAAATAGGGGAGGAAAAATCTTTTTTTAAAAAAGGAAAGAAAAAGTATGATCCTTGAAGGCCTCTTGCAGTAGCAGCCTTATAAACTCACCCGCAATGCTGAAGTTCTCAGACTTACAAATGTATACCCGTAAACGCGCTCACCTTGTCGGTCATGTTCTAAATGCCGCAGCTGAGTCAAGTTGTGTGGGACGCGTCCCCTCCACCTAAGCAGTCCCGTCCCGTATGACCCTATGGTAAAACAAGGAGGTATGACTTGATGCAAGATTGCTGTGCCCCATTTCTCTTTTTTCAGCTTGACTCAATGTTATTTATCTCTTTCTAATCTGACAGGGATCGTTTACAGTTAAGATAACTGATCAGAAGGATATGATGATAAGAGGTGGAATAGTTCTGTTTGGAATTAAACTCTGTAACCAGTAGACTCAAACACAAACAAGCTAAAATGGTGATTAACGATGCATGTATGTTTTTTTCATATAGTCAATAGACCTCCGTGTGCTTTTTTTTTTATTTATTTATTACAGTAATGAAGTGGTGTTGATAGCTAAACTGTGTGCTTTTATTTAATTGAAAGAGCTGTAGTGAAAGTTTTTTGGGGGGGTCTTTTTTAATTTTGTTTTTGTTGTTGAGGAGTGACTTTGCCATGGGGAGCAAAGGGCCTTTTTTTTTTTCCTTGCTTTCAAGCTGTAGCCTGTGACTTTTTTAACCATATTTTGTAGTGAGTGCTAAATTGTGTGACTTCTTGATTTTTAAGTAAATCAACGTATTGCTTGCATGTTCATAATTTGGGGGGGGTGGGGTGGGGTTTGTTCTTGGGAGGGGTGTGGAGCTCCTTATTAACAATGTGCGTCCATTTGGGCTTTCTAATTTGAGATTTTTTTTTTTCTTCAATCTGTCTTTAATAATGTAGCGCATTTCTCCTTTACTTGAGTGTATACTATCCCTAAGTAGATCTAACTCTTGCTTCTTATAGGCATATAATTAGGAGGTGAAGTCTGCTTTAAACTGTCCATACAGTGTTACTTCACTAATGCACACTGACTGAGAAACTCATTGCAAAGTAATGCATTTTGCTAATTAATGAGTAAGCTAACAATAAAGTAGCGAAAATGCGTCACAAATATATTTTGTTTATTTGACTAGAATAGCTTTAGAATATTGTACCTAGCTGTTATTAAGCAACGATAGATTCTTGGTAGCTTGATTTGTAAAAACGGTAGGAAACAGTTCCTGTCCTCAAAAGTGTAGGAAAAAGTTTTCCTAGAAACTTCACGTACTTTTAAAAGAGAATGTTGATTCTTCTGAGACACGTGGGGAGGTTGTGGAAAACTTTCTGCCTTTTTTTTTTTTTCTTCTCATGATTATCCTCTACTGTATTTTGTTTGACTGCTTTGAAGTGTGAGGAAACGACAGTGTACACGCAGTGATCAGTTTGCGATGCCTGTGCTAAGGTAGGCAGGAGGCGGCGCGCGTTGTCTCCAGAGCCGTTAAAGCACTTGTTGCAAGGAGGAACCAGTGGACTGCCCCGGGGATCAGCCCTGGAGAGACTGAGTATTTGCTGAGCACAACAGAAAAGGACAACCTGTGGCAATCCTTGCTTAAGGGACTGTGCAAATGTAGGGCTCGCTCTTGCTTTCCTTACCCAGAGCCAGCAATAGATCACGTGAATCGTGTTTAGGCCAGGGAAATTCTTCCAGCAGGCTGAATAGGGTTTTATTTCTAATGCAACGTACGTAAACCTGAAGAAAAGGAATGTTGGTCGCAGGGTCATTATATATGAAATCGGTCATTTTTAATCCTTGCCTTTTGCCTTTCTTTTACTATGTGCAAACAAAGGAGGTGATTACTAATCCTGCTTCCGCCTCAACGTTTCCAATGACTTGTACCTTTTCTGAAGAACGTAGTTCAGATTAAGAAGAACAGCATTCATTAGGATGAACGAACATCTTCATTCACTATATTCCTTGACAATAAGAGGAGTTGTTTTCAGTGCTTATTTGAATCTACTTTTATTGAAGAGTTCGCTCTTAGAGGATGTTACGTGGATTGCACTGAAATACATGGTCACCTTAAAGGCTTTCTTCCTCCTGCGCAGTTGCACTTTTTAAAAGTACACTTTACTAATATGCTGTGTAAAATGGGTCGTAGTGGTGATTCCCTACCAATACTCTGCTAATCCGTACACAAAAGCTGCAAATGTTTTGTGGTTTGGTTTTTTTTCCTACCAGAGTGCAAATGAGTGAGGTGCTGCCATACTCTGGCATGGTCAGCAGTGTTCTGATATGGTTCCCCACCTATCAAACAAGAAACTGAAAATAATTGGATTATGTTACATTACTTTTACTGAGAAGATGCAGGAGTACAATATTCTGAATTAAGTATAACGTTATTGTGGTGGAGGGAGCCAGAAACTAGATTAGCTTCAATGCACGAAGCATTTAAAATGCTGGGAATTTTTCTTTATTCAGTGCTGCAGAGATCAGTTCATCCACCAAATAACATTTCTCTCTGCTCTTCATATTCAGCATCTATCTTACTGTTGTGTTTCGTTGAAAGCTGTTTGATCACAGGACTGGTTATCTATACGGCTCTGTTTTCAGGATTGTTTATTAAAATACTATCTCTGAATTCAACAGGAATTTAGGGAGGGGGAAGATGACTTTGCCTCCTAAGACAGCTTTTCTCATTTTGCTTATGTAATTTTTACTTTAATATTGGTGGGAAAATACGGAGTTATACAGAGGTATTGGTGTGGGATATAACTTGTTCTCTTGGAGAGATGTTATTCCCTTTATTTTCTGTCTAAAACGTGTACCTCAATCAAAATGAGAACATTCCCACTATTTTTAGTAAGACCAGAGTTAAATCCAAAGTTATTAAGTTCATTATCGAATGGTTAGCTGATACTACCTGCCTGGTATTATCTTCCAAGAGTTAGGTAATTCTGCCTTTTTTAAGAGAGAAGGAAAAGCCCTCTCTTGAGTTTATGATCAAAAGACCTGTATAATACAAGACTACGGATAATCTGGAAAGAGGGAATGAAGCTGGAACAGTCAGAAGTTAACCTGAAGAATGCTAAATGTCCTCTTAACGGTATCAGGCACAAATTTAAAAGGAAGCATATTACGGGTCTTGTATGTCTTGATGTTTACGTAACCTATTTCTGCTATAAGGAAAGCTGTGCCTTGGTGAAAATCTACTCTTTAATTATGCTTACAAAACCAGATGATGCCATGCAAGGGCCAAAGCAAAACATTTTGTCCAAAGTTAAACATCTACTTTCACAAGAATGTAATGTTGAGAGTCAATGTTGTGCTACTACTGCTGAATTTCTATACACCACAGCTCTCTCCGTTAGTCTAGAAAGTCCTTTCTTTCCTTTGAAACAATTAGCTTTCACTTTATTATTGCTTATAGGGTTATTTTTGAGGTCTTAGTTAAACACAGATCTTCTGTTACAACAACAATGAAGGTCTTCAGGCACATGGCAGGAGGGTATGTCATTCAATTTTGAATATCCCAAAGCTACAGTTACTGCTGAAGTTAAATGTGGCTTCTCTTTTCCTTTATTGCAAAAGCGTAAAACAGTAAATATGCGTTCCAAAATAAAAACTACTGACAGGAAAGAAAGCTTAAGCCATGTATAATTCTCACTCTTACTGTCAAAAGTAAAGCAGCAGCTTTTCTTTAAAATTAGGGATGCTAAGGACATCCAGCGTAACTGGGAATTGCTTTTTCAGCTTCTGACCTGGCAGAGCATTAAAAGCAGTTGGGTTCTGAATGGCTGAGATCTACATGTGCTGGCCTCTGCAGTAGGTAGAAATTTACTTTGGCCATATAAAGCCATTTTACTCGACTCAAAACAGTTGTAGCATGACAGATGATCAAAAATAGCCCCACTGCAGCTTATGCTGTCAATCATCATGTGTGAAATGGCATGGTGGTGAGGAGCCTGCACAGGGTTTATGTTTATTGTAGGGTAAGATGTGGCAAACAGATAATGTTCCATAACTTCACCACCTGTTAGTTTCTTGGCTTAAATAAAACAAGTCACAAGAGTTTAAGCGGGAGCACATGTATCTTTCTGTCTTGTTCAAGGATATGGCCGGGTGTCCTAATGTCTTCAGAAAATGTTAGTAACATCAGTGCAAGTCCACACAAGCAGCTAGATAAGCTTGCTTACTCTCTCTTCTGTTAGAATTACTCTCTTTCATAAATGCTGTGTGTAAAGATTCCTTTGATGTGGTGTTAAATGGACTCTTAATGATGCAGAAGAGGCTCTCGGTGACTTCAAATTTGGTTTTATACCTCTTTCCTTAATACTTAAAAAGCACGGTGTTGTATTTATTAGGATTGTACTTGATTGGTGACCAATACAAAATGCTTGTTTATGCTCATCCATTTTGTATGGAGAGCTCAGGTAATGATGTGTATTTAAATGCACAGAGCCAGCTTAAGTATGCTTCAAATGCACTTCTGGCTAATCACTTCATAAATTAGGTGAGTGTTAAAAACCCAACTTACGGTTCTGTTTTATGTTTTCTTTCCTTTCCCAGTCCTTATTTGTCACTCCTTTTTTTCTTTTTTCATTTCTCCCTTCACACAGTAGGAAATGAATTTCATTGATCTGTTGGGTTTTTATGATTGTGGTGTTCATGTCTTAAACACGGCAACTGAACATTTCTTTCTGCTAATATTCCAACTGCGCTCTTTTTTTCTTAAAAAGAAGACTAGGCTGTTCTAAAGCCTGACTGTCACTTACTTTAAACTATGTTTTGCTATGAATCTAGTTGACAATGTCCCTTCTGATTGAAATGTTTCCTTGTTGACCACTTCAGTAAATCTTGAAGTTATTTTAAAAGTGAAACAAACAAAAAAAACCCTTTCCATTAAATCTTTAATTTGGAGAAAAGAGGACAGTTTTTACCGTTGCAATTTGCATGTGTGCTTACAGTGCGCTAAAAGGCTGGTGCAGTCTTTAGAGTTGTCTGTAAAGGTAAAGTTCAGTATGAAATAGTAGTAAATCTGCACAAGCAGTTTTTAATGGATTTATAAAGACTCACTGACTGGAAAGGAGTTGCATATATGAAGGACTTCTCTGTGGAAATCCAGATGCAAGACAGGGTTATGAATGTAAAATGAGAATTATATTGAGTATATTATTTTTTAAAATCACATTATATGATAAAATACAACTATGAGATGAACTTGTATGTACAGTTGTGTGCTAAGACAACGATACGACCAATTTTCAAAACTGAAGGGCTAAGTAACCAAGCCAAGGAAGCAAGTTTTGTGACTTGGAGACGATGGGAAAGTGTGTGTACTGATCTGTTCAGAATGGTTATTTCTTAAGCTGTAAATTTGTTTTTTTTTGCTTTTGTTAAGCACCAGATCTATTTAGACTTAATCCTTTGCCCACCTCCCAAAAAACTCTATGCTGTATGTCTTGCATAGAAATAAACAAGCTGGCACAAAACAGGACATCAGTGGCCTGATAATCAAACAGGTTTGACCCTTGTGTCCTTACGAACTTTTATAAAAGTGTGATGCACATGTACTTAGGAGTCACTGTTATGGATTTTAATAGCATCTATGTAGCTTCCCCTCAATGGCCTCTTGTGACGGAGTGAGCTGCACTATCGTTCGTTTGGAAAGTGTGATTCTTGCTGTGTTTACCACACTTGTGAACTTTATTTAAACTCCTTTGTCGCCTGTGTTGGTTTTTTTCTTATTTTTAATAAGGGTGACTGAGGTTGCAGAGACATTAATGTGTGCTGAGTCTGCATAGCAACTTAAGTAGGGTTGCCACAATATACTCCCCCCCCCACTCCCTGAGAAGACTTTACATAAAGTCAGGGTTCGGCCATTCTGTTGCCTTATTGGCTATTGTCAAACTTATTATAGTGATGCTGTCAAACTGCTCAGTTACTAATAATAGAAGTATTGCAGGAAATAATTTTACTAAGAGTCGAGTAGTTGAGTGAGAAGCAGGGTAATAAAAATTACTTACAGGTGATTTGAAAAACAAATACTGCAATTTTCCAGATGGAATCATTGAGCTTACTCCTTTAAAGTTGTCTTAAAACTGACATCAGTAATCCTGGTCCTTCTAAAGATTTTAATAGCATTAAAGATAATATCCTCAAGCAACATTAAACACTCCTATTTAACTCGGCTATACTGCTGTGCTTTGGAGCGATGCATCTCTTCGGGCCAGTGAACTGGTAATTGGTCCATTGAGTCTAGTTATTGTGGCAACCCTATGCACATAACAACAACTAAATTGAGTTTGTTTTAGTTCGGAGTATGGATATGACGCTTAGGCGCTGACTTGCGTACCAACTCTGACTCCCTCTCCCATCTTTCAACAGGATACCTGCTCACTATGTCTATCCACAGGCTTTTGTGCAGCCCGGAGTGGTAATTCCCCACGTTCAGCCCGCAGCAGCCGCTGCTTCCACTACACCCTACATCGATTACACCGGAGCTGCGTACGCCCAGTACTCGGCCGCCGCCGCCGCCTACGAGCAGTACCCGTACGCTGCCTCGCCGGCTGCCGCCGCCGGGGCCAGGGGCGGCGGGGGCGAGACGACAGC